ATACCCCTGCTCTGCACCATTTGAAAATGAGTATTTTTACGCTTGTTCAGGAATGTAATTGTCTGCTGCCTATAACATGAAGATTGTTCTTTTGGGGACTGCTAGGACAAACCGAAAGAGTTTGAGCAATTTAAAAAATTGCCATAATGTAAAAAAAGCATTGAGGGAATGATTTAGACATCATCGCGCCACGTATTTCTTGGATGCAAAATGAAACCATAAGTGCTCTGCTGTAGAGCAGCAGATCACTTTAGCAGCATACCACAGTCAAAAATTATAACTACTTTTATTATCACCTTATTGAACAAGGAAAACAAAAATGTAGATGTATAATATATACTGAACCTGTAGTTAGACTATACAGTTAAAATTCAGTTTAGGCAATACAATCAGACACTAAGTGGTGCCTGTAAATACCTATGTTCATCTTTTAGAGCCTCCTTTTTCAACCTTTTTACCCTCAGAAGAAGCCTTTCAATAATTTTCAGGTTTCAGGGAACCCCTACAAAAATTAATTTATCATGGGTCAGTTCCCCTTACATTGGGAGTCAGTAGGAAGAATTAAGTACTTAGAGTGGTGATCAGAATGTCACAGACACCAAAATGTTCATTGGTGTCATACCACTGGTTCTGCCAAATGGTGTTGGACCTGGAACTCATGGAACCCCTAGCAACCTCTGGAGCAATCCTAGGTTTCCACTGAACCCTAGTTGAGATTCCTTGTTCTAGAGTGTCCCAGGAACCCCTGAAGTCAAGGCATTCAATAATACCTGGCTACTTTCTTCTCTTAGAAAAAAAGGAAATATATCCCTACTCACCATCCTGAGTTTAGGGGTTTAAATGACTCTCTAGGATATGAATTCAGGTATGCGCAGGCCCTTCTTGGTGCCTGGTTTTAGATCCTAACTTTAAAATTGTATTGGCATATTCAGCAAAAATAAAGACAATGGCTGCTCTGACATAAGTGCAGTAATGTGTTAAGCTCTCGACCCACATCTCAATTCCACACACAGAAGGAAAAGATTTTACCAATTGCACTAAATACCACATTTTAGAAGAATTCTTGCAATCCACATATCTTCTTTGATTCACCTGGACCAGTCAGGATTTATATCTGATACCTGCTGTAGGCCAGAGATAATGCACTTAAGATCATCACTATAATCTAACATGGCAGACTGTCTAAAACACCTCTAAGTTACTTTTATCTACTGACCAGAAAAGTGCTTGATAGAGTTAACTGCAAGTTTACCTACGAAACAATGTCCCAAATAGGCTTAAGGCTCACTGAGGAGCTGGATTAAGGCAGGACATAGATGTGCAAATTTCTTTCCTGCAACCACAGGTACATTCAGCCTGCCCATTCTTAGTTAAAATCTCAGTTGGTTCCTGCTGAACTGGCTGAGAATCAAACCTTCTATGGCTGGCCTTAAGCAATTTATTCCATCTCTTCAGCTGCTATCAAGGCAAATACCATTTGTTCTGATACCTTCACCATTATCAATGGCACCAGGCAGGGATGCCCACTATATTTTTTTTATTTTTGCCCTCACCATCAAACCTCTATTATGTACCATCTGAACTCTGTACCTGCTCAGAGCACCACAAAGTAACTGCATGCACAGACAACCTACTTTTTTTTCCTAAGGCTTTGTTCACATGAGCATTTTAAAGTGTATATCTGTGTGCATCCTCATGCAGGCAGTCCCATTCATTTCAATTGGGATGCAGCGCCTGCACAGACACAGCACCTGCTCCCAGTTTGACATCTGTGTGGGTGCTAGTGAGTATCCTCAAACTTACACTGTCTGTGTCAGGGACACGCATCTGCACAGATGTCATATTGGTAGCAGCGATTGTGTCCATGCAGCCACTGCTTCTTAATTGACATGAATGGGGCTGCTTGCATGGAACACATCAGCATCTCCTGCAGGCAAACATGGCCTTCACATGAATGTACACTTTAGTAAGCCTATGTGAAAGAAGCATTACTAAACCCAATCTAACACTCCTCTTGTTGCTGTCATAACTTTCAGTGCAATCTCAAATTACAAAATTAACTACAATAAATCTGAGGTCTTAGGAGTCTTTTTATCCCCCATTACATCTCACAGACTTCAGAACGACTTCAACTTTAAATGGTCCTCCTCTCATATTTGATACATCAAAGCTCACCACTGTGCTGGAGATGTAAATCACACCCTAGCATCCTGCTTCACATCTTCTGAACTGCGCCCATATAAAGGACTTTTGAAAATTTATAAAATTCATCTGCCACAAACTAACAGATGTTGAGCTGGAAGAGGATTCAATATTATATCTTTATTACACCTCCTAAACACAGCAAGTGCTTGTGTCTTTGCACTATGGAAACAGACTGCCACCCCCATTTTGGGCCGATGGTTCTCCAGAATCAACAAAACTATTCACATGGAGGAGCTATTCTGACAAACCTGGTTCTACTGGGTAGACTTCTTATAATCCCCAGAATACCAATCATGTTTATGATCTGACGCTCTATACCCCATTATCTCTACCAATCAAGTCCCCTCACCCATATCCTCTTCTCAGCAGAGCTTTTCTTTGTGATGACTCCTAATATCACCCTTCTCTAGGTTATATTCAAACCTTTGCCTCCTTCTCTGCCTAGTCCTCTTCTCCCCTCTCTTTCCTACTACCTTTTCTGATCGCTTTCTCACTAGCCAAGGGGAGCTGGTTGCTTCTGTCTTCCACCCAGGCTCATGACAAAGTGAAACTCTGCATATAAGCACAATGGTGTGCTCGCATGAAAGGGTTTATTACTTGTTACTGCACTGTTGATGCGACGCTTCTCTTTTTTTTTGTTGTTGTTTGTTGAAAGTTTGGATTATCGATATCTTTTCTTGAAGAAAACTTCATGACCAGTGCATACTAAAAAACTTAAAACACCACCCTACTAATGTATCGAGTAGCAAAAGTTCAGACTTTATCGCTTTATAGTGTTATACTTTGGGTACACTTGCCAGATACAGTGCTGATGAGCAAAACCTTAGTGATACCCATTCTTATAGATTCAGACTACAAGGACACTTGCTATGTCTCTATGTAAACTAGCATTTGCAAAGTGTTAGAAATCTAGAATGTTTTAAATACTTGTTTTCTATTTAGTAAAAAGTTTTTTTTAATAATTAACCCTGATCATAATAATTTCTCTATTGAATAACACACTTTAACCAGTTCCCAACTGCGGTATAGCCAAAGGACGCCTACAGCGCGGTTGTGTAGTTCTGGGATGATGTCCATGGACATCATTCTCCCTGCGCGCCGCCTGCAGTGTGCACCCGGTGCCGCCGATGATCGCTGTGTTCTACGGACACAGCTCATCACGTGATACGGTAAACGGCCAATCACGGTGGCCTTTTACCACGTGATAAGCTGTGTCCAATGACACAGCAGATCACTGGGTGAATACAATTGCCGGTTATCAGCTGCACTTTCCTCACTCTGTCATAGCATGAGAAAAGTATTGCAGAGAACCAGTTGTCAGCTAAGGGATCAGCACCTGTGCCCATCAGTGCCACCCACCTGTGCCCAGCAGTGCCACCCACCTGTGCCCTGCAGTGCTACCCACCTGTGCCCATCAGTGCCACCCATCAGTGCTACCTAGTAGTGCCGCCCATCAGTGCCCAGTAGTGCTGCCCATCAGTGCCACCCATCAGTGCCCAGCAGTGCCACCCATCAGTGCTGCCTATCAGTGCAGCATCATCAGTACCAGCTCATCAGTGCCGCCTATCAATGCCTCCTATCAGTGCCCATCAGTGCTGCCTATCCATGGCACCTCATCAGTTCCATCAGTGCTGCCTATTATTGCCCATCAGTGCTGCCTATCAGTGCAGCCTCATCAATGAACATCAATGATGGAGAAAAATTATCCGTTTGCAAAATGTTATAATAGAAACAAGAAACTTTTTTTTTTCTTTTTTTTTGCTATTTTTTTTTGTTAATAGCGCAAAAAAGAAAACACCCAGCAGCGATTAAATACCACCAAAAGAAAGCTCTATTTGTGTTAAAAAAATGATAAAAATTTCATATGGGTACAGTGTTGCATGACCGTGCAATTGTCATTCAAAGTGCGACAGCTCTGAAAGCTGAAAATTGGCCTGTGCAGGAAGGGGGTATATGTGGCCAGTAGTGGTTAAATTACAGTTGAAAAAGGGTTTTTTTTGTCCTTTTTTTTGTCCTTCAATTACATATGGCTTGTTTAAAATAAAACCAATTTTTATATTTTGGAGAATATGTTAAGTCCAGACACTTTTACCCCCTTCCTGTCCAGGCCAATTTTCAGCTTTCAATGCTATCACACTTTGAATGACAATTGCGCGGTCATGCAACACTATACCCATATTAATTTTTTAGCATTTTTTTGAGACAGATAAAGCTTTATTTTGGTGGTATTTATTCACCACTGGGATTTTTATTTTTTTGCTATGTAAATGAAAAAGACTAAAAATTTTGAAAAAAAGTGTTTTTCTTATAAAATTTAGAAAATAATATTTAATCAAATCTTGGCCAAAATGTATTCCGTTATCTTTTTGTAAAAAAAAAAATAACCCAAATTAGTTTTATAACCAAAAATTATAATTTTTAAAACATTTTTTTTACATTTTTATTTTTTATTTTTTTATAATCTTATTTATATATATTTTTATTTACATACTGCCACCCTAGCAGTACAGTGTCACCATGGTGACACTGTACTACTTGTGGGGGGTGATGAAGATTTTTTTTTTTTTACACTGATTGCTTTTACACCCATAAAGGCTGCAAAAACAATCATTTCTCCTTCTCTCTGGCTGCATTCTTGCAGCCATTGAGAACTACTGTGTGAGCTGTGATTGGTCACAGTTTGTCACAGGGTACAAGGCTATTGTGAATAGCCTTGTACCATGTGACCTCTGTGATCATTCACAGATTTCACAGGTAGTAAGCAATGATGTCAGAAGTGACATCTTGCTTACTACTCTGCATGTGATCACTGATTGGCCAATCAGTGATCACATTATCGGGACCTCGCAGAGAGGTCCCGTACGGCGATCGGTCTCCACTGTGTCCGGAGGACACAGCAGGCACCGGATCGCGGTGCTGCGCACTCCCAGGGAAACGCGCACAAGCAAGGGGCAGGGAGGCCATATTATAAACAGCCACCCGACCCTGCACTGCCACCGTCAGGCTGTTTATATACAACGGCAGGACTGGGAGGTAGTTAATTATTATTAACCTCCCTAGCGGTATGATTATGTCAGTATTTCTGTGCTAAAAGCGGTACATTTTTTTCAATGGAAATTTGTTGTTTTTTTTTATTGTAGGCCTGTAATTCTTAGGAATAACTCCCTGAAATCTTTTTAAACAAGAGTCTAGTAGACATGTTTGGTGCAATAAATTTTAATAAATTAAATCATAAATTATAATATAATAAAAAATAATAAATATAATAAATTAAATAATGTAATCAGATAAAACACACGGAACTCTGTCCAAACAATATTATACAAACACTGCATTTTTTTTTTAGTAAACATCCCGGGTGTGGTAAAATTTTGAACATGGGACTGCACAAAGTCCAACATCGCAATCAGGACAGTGGAACCTTGTTTCCTTGCAGATTTTTTTTTCCACTGTTATCTCTCCGAGAGCAACATACCACGCACATCCTGGTAGGTGCTGCCCTTTTTTTTGGTTGGTGGGATGTGGTCCATAAAATGACGTCCATTCAGACGTTCTGGATTGACAACTTCCACAGAACGTCGTCTGGATCTACCCACAGACACTGATGGCGTTTGGTATTTCAGGAAGATGAATTCCGCCAATTTCCATATAAAGTCCGCATGAACCACAGGCTTTTCACTGTGTTTGCGGAACAGAACGTATGCATTCCACAAACACTGCTCCAGAAGATGCCGGAAAATCTTTTTATAATACTTTCTCTGCTGCTTTCTCATCGCAGGATATATCGTCATAGCTTGATCAGCTCTGTCGACACCTCCCATGGTTTTTTTGTAGTCCATGACAACCTGCGGCTTCTGGATGTTTTTGCCACCTTTTGTTTTGGACCATCACTGTGGAGGCATTGTGAATGGTACTCATCAGGCACACATCCTTCTTGTCCCGCCATCTCAGCGCAATCATTTTGCCTTTCTGCCAGGCTACTAATTCTCCCAACTTTAGTTTATTTTTTCCAAACATGGATGGCAGGTTACGCCGGTTAGCCCGAACGGTTCCGTAGGCATCCGTTCTGTTTTGAAGAAGAACCTCGTAAAGTTCTGGCGAGGTGTAAAAATTGTCCATCGTTATGCAATAGCCTTGGTTTTGCAGAGGCTCGATTAGTGACAGGTCGGATGATGTTGCCAGTCCGTAGCTGCTGTACTTAGGATCGAATTTTGTTCCTTTGCCGGTGTATATGACTGCATTCCAGATGTAGCCGGTACAGGATTCGCACAGCAGATAGGATTTCACGCCAAATCTTAATCTCTTGGACGCGATGTACTGTATCCAGCTGAGCCTTCCTTTGTAGGCCATTAGACCTTCGTCTACGCTGATATCCCTCTCTGGCACATAGCTCTGTTGGAAATTTCTTACAATTACTTGGTAGAGTTCCCAAATTTTTTTTAGCTTGGGAGTCGGATGACTTGTTTCATCAAAATCCTCATTATTTGCGAAGTGCAAATATTTCATAATGAGGGAAATATTGTACTCCGACATGACGGTGCCAAAGAACGGCGTGGCGAGCATTTTGTTGGTGCTCCAGTACCACTTCTACAGCGGTTTCCCCACCACTCCTTGCAGAATAATTAGGCTGAGAAACAAACAAATGTCCTCTTTGTTGACAGGCTTCCACTTTCTGCTGCGTGAAAACCGGCTCTGAGGAGCACCCATTTGTTGCACTGCGTACCGGTTTGTCTCCGTCACAATAATTTCAATGACCTCATCGGTCATAAACAATTCCAAGTATGCCAAGGGATTGTCACCTTCAACGTGTATTTTCATACCAGGTGTGCAGGTAAACAGAAATCTTGGCGGCGCTGGTGTATTGCAATCAATAGTGCACCATGTGCGCAGATCACTCACGTCCATCTCAGATTCGCCGCTATCTTCACTTTCGGTGTCAGATGATAAATCGCCACATGAGTCGCTATCACCCAATTCAAGCAGCTTCTCACTGTTGCTGTTCGCTAGCTCATCATAAACCGCTTTATTGCTAGCGAGGCGCTTTTTGGAAGCCAGGAGCGCAAAATGGCACAAAATTGTTTTTAGTCACAAAAGCTGCACTATGGCTATATTCACAGGTGGAGTTACAATGTATGCACAGAGTAACACTTTATTTTTGACTGTGAGCTATTTTTATAATTCCCGCCTCCCACAAGCGCCGCCCCCCCTACGGCACGTCAGACTCGCGCTGATCACACTGATCAGCGTGAAATAGACGGGAACCAGAGGAGCAGGAAAGCGGGGAAGGAGACTGGGGACGGACGGAGGGGATGGCTGCTAGCAGCGCAGGACCAGGGACACAGATCGGCACCAGGTAATACTATTGCGGTTAGCCCGAGTCTGGCTTGGGGTTACCGCTTTTGACAGCTGCATTTTACCCTGAGCCAGACTCGGGAATACCGCTAGGGAGGTTAATTTGGTATGGCAGGGTGGTCAGATCTAGAAAACATTTTAAGTTTTCACTGAACAACTTGATTTTATTTAAGAATTCCTTTTGACTTATTCAGCTGCATACTAAAGCCATACCGGTTAACAAAATAAAATACAATAATGTTTTTGTTTTTTTTTTTTACTGAACATGCTAGATGCAATTTCCTACCTTCACTGAATATATCATCCATCTTTAAGTTCACTCAGTAGTTGCTCTGAAGTAGCCTATTAATTTTCAGATCAAATTAATTCTCTTTGGTTTCCTATTTGTAAAACCGGTGGCTGCTATGCCAGCAGCCTGAGAATCACATGAGTTCTCTTTTCTCTCTAAGCTGTGCTTGGCAAACACAGTTACCAAGTTTATATTATTTGATTTAAATATAAAGCTCAAGGTCGCTAATGATATTTTCAGTTTCTAATGTATTTGCAGTACAGACTGCATTTTTTTGGTTAACCTCTTGCCGACCGCGCATAGCCGAATGACGGCTTCACCGCGACCGGCCAGTTCTGAGTGGACGTCATATGACGTCCTCCCAGAACGCGCTCTCCTGCGCGCCCCAGGGGGCGCGCACCCGGCGATCTCCGTGATCGCTGTGTCCTACGGACACAGCTGATCACGTGATGTGGTGAAAGGCCGATCCCACCGGCCTTTTACCACGTGATCAGCGGTGTCCAATGACACGCTGATCACAGGGAAATACAAGTGCCGGTTCTCGGCTGCACTTTCCTCACGCTGTCAGATCGTGAGGAAAGTACTGCCGAGAACCGGCAGTTGTCAGAGCGGGGATCAGCACCGATCATCAGGGCACTGATGATCAGTGCCCTGATGATCGGTGCCCAGCAGTGACACCCGCAAGTTCCGCCCAGCAGTGCGCCCACTAGCCCCGCCCACCCGTTCCCAGCAGTGCCCCCACCTGTGCCCAGCAGTGCCCCCACCTGTGCCCAGCAGTGCACCCACCTGTGCCACTCTGCAGAGTGCCACCTACCTGTGCCCAGAAGTGCCACCTACATGTGCCCAGCAGTGCCACCCACCTGTGCCCACCCACCTGTGCCCACCAGTGCCACCCACCTGTGCCCACCAGTGCCACCCACCTGTGCCCACCCACCAGTGCTGCCCACCAGTGCCACCCACCAGTGCAGCCCAGCAGTGCTGCCAGTCAGTGCCACCAGTCAGTGCCCAGGGGTTGTGCCAGTCAGTGCCGCCAGTCAGTGCCCAGAAGTGATGCCAGTCAGTGCCGTCTATCAGTACCCATCATCAGTGTCACCTATCAGTGCCGCCTATCAGTGCTGCATATCAGTGCCGCCTATCCGTGACCCCTAATTAGTGCTGTCTATCAGTGCCGCCTATCCGTGCCACCTCATTAGTACTGCCTATCAGTGCCCTTTAGTGCTGCCTATCAGTGCCCATCAGTGCCGCCTATCAGTGCCCATCAGTGCCGCCTCATCAACGCAAATCAGTGAAGGAGAAAAAATACCTGTTTGAAAAATTTTATAAAAGAAACAAATAAACTTATTTTTTTTTTTCAAATTTTTTGCACTTTTTTTTAATTTATAGCGCAAAAAGTAAAGTGCCCAGTGGCGATTAAATAACACCAAAAGAAAGCTCTATTTGTGAGAAAAAAATGATCAAAATTTCATATGGGTACAATGTTGCATGACCGCGCAATTGTCAATCAAAGTGCGGCAGCGCTGAAAGCTGAAAATTGGCCTGGTAAGGAAGGGGGTATAAGTGCCTGGTAGGCAAGTGGTTAAGAGACATTAGTAGAAAGTTAACCTATAACATACTGAATACAAAGAAAGCACTATGATTTGGAGCTGATTTAAAGTGCAGGTTATATACAGTAAGTATGGGTGGATATGCCTTGGTTCAATTTGTGTAGCAGTAGGATTGTTAACTCCTTCTTGAAATTCTCAAATCTCAAACTCAGCATTGAATTCTATTGACTTCTACCACAGTGTCATTTTGAAGAAACTTTTGTCAAGAAAAGAGCACATTTTTAAGAAATTATTTTCAAAAGAGCACAGGTTGCTGGGCACTGCCATGGAGGATATTAAATTATATACAGTGGGGAGGGGATCCATTTAATATGACTTTTAAGTTGACAGGGAAAAAAACACTAATCCTTTAAATTAGAAACTCCTTGTATAAAACTACTTTAAGTGGGCTACCATGGATGCTAATTATTAATAAAAAATAGACACATGCATGCCAGAAATTTTCGTTTCATTTTGGATGCATTCGCTCATTGAAGATTGTTTAGTCATATTTGTTATAGTGAACCAATTCCGTTTTGGAATTCTTTTCATATCTTCTGCATTAATTTTATATATTAGTTGGTCTGAGTAGAACTGAAAAATACAGCAGTTTTTCCAGAAGATTTCTGTATATCTGATATATATAATTTAATCTGATGGATTCGAATTGGAAGGATTCTATATTTTTGGACACTAGTCCAACCCACAATGAGAAATGGCATGAGCTGAATGGACAATATCAACTGGCACCATGTACATCTGAGTTAACAAATGGAATGAAATTTGGATCCATTCATTATCCAAATTCAAATCAACTA